CTAGAATTCCCCGGGACACGGGGAGGGGGGCTGGGGGGGTGTTTTCTGAAGCCACTGCCAGCTGGACGGGGCGAGAGCTAACACTGCGCAACATGACCGCCACTGTGAGCGCCAACCGCGGACAGAGATCACATCCAAACCTCAGACCCCCAATCACCAACCTATCCTCCGTGTGATACATTGTAACCATCAGATCCACAACACAATATACAACGTATCCGATTATCATCATATATACAACACTCCGAATATGTATTATATCATATCCAAAACATTCTGCACACACCATGGAAGGAAGTGACATCACCGTCTCCTCTCCATCATCACAGACCCAGCACAGGGATGGTGGGAGCCCCTCATAATGGGCACAGCGGGTGTACAGACCCGGGAACTCAGCACAGGGATGGTGGGAGCTCCTCATAATGGGCACAGCGGGTGTACAGACCCGGGAACTCAGCACAGGGATGGTGGGGGCCCCTCATAATGGGCACAGCGGGTGTACAGACCCGGGAACTCAGCACAGGGATGGTGGGGGCCCCTCATAATGGGCACAGCGGGTGTACAGACCCGGGAACTCAGCACAGGGATGGTGGGAGCTCCTCATAATGGGCACAGGGGGTGTACAGACCCGGGAAAGCCCAATGGCCATGGAAGGACGGTCTGTACCCGCAGAGGAGACTTCTTTGCCCCATTTATAATTTAGGAGGTTTCAGTGACACTTCTGGGTGACGAGCGGCAACTAAAGATGGCAGAATTATGTTACAATGCCGGTGATCCGGTTGCAGCACCAGGATATAGAACAGGTGGGATGAGGAGGGAGGGGAGCGCGCTACTGAAGATTGGAGCAGAATACGGCAACTGATCAAAAGGGATGGGGGGGAGAGAGAGTACACTGGAGAGGACCAGAACCGAGTGCGGCCACCAGTAAAAGAGGGAGGGCGGGGCTTACATCGGAGAGGATCGGAACAGAGTACGGCCACCAGTAAAAGAGGGAGGACCTACACTGGAGAGGATAGGAACAGAGTATGGCCACCAGTAAAAGAGGGAGGACCTACACTGGAGAGGATTGGGACAGAGCACGGCCACCAGTAAAAGAAAAAGGACCTACACTGGAGAGGATCGGAGCAGAGTACGGCCACCAGTAAAAGAGGGAGGGCGGAGCCTACAGTGGAGAGGATTGGGACAGAGTACGGCCACCAGTAAAAGAGGGAGGGCGGAGCCTACACTGGAGAGGATTGGGACAGAGTACAGCGCCATCAGTATGGTGAAAGGTAGAGAGGGGAGGGCAGGGAGAACACCAGAGAGCATTGGAGCCGGAGTACCATGACCAGTAGAAGAGGGGTGGTAGCCCGTACACCAAGTACCATCAGAGCATAGTATTAGGGGGGTACACATGTATGTCGGGTCGGAGTGCTCGTGTTCACAATAGAATTGATTCTTCACAACGGTCCGGCACTCATTGGGCTCTCCCATCTTCTATGTGTAGCCGGAGCTCTGACACCTCCATCGGTCTTTGTTGTGGCAGAGTGACAGGAGGGGACGCGCCACGCTCTTCCTCCAGACAGCAGACGCTGCATTTGTTTAGTCTCCGTCCCGAGCATCTCTGTCTGCTTCACAGCATTGTTATAGGAGCAATTCCCCAGGCGATTAGGGGAGAGGGTCTGACAGGCACAGGGAAGGTCACCGGAAGAGCTCCGTTTACATTTCCCCATTGGTGTGTGCCACGCTAACCAGCCCGCATCACTGGGACAACGAGACCCCAAACTTCCTATATCATGGATCCCGCCACTCATAGCGCTTGCTGAACACTACATCTAAATACCCAGACAGGATCTTATGGTTTGTGGACTAATGGATCCCACCATCCCTGTGCTGAGTTCCCGGTTCTGTACACCCGCTGTGCCCATTATGAGGGGCTCCCACCATCCCTGTGCTGAGTTCCCGGGTCTGTACACCCGCTGTGCCCATTATGAGGGGCCCCCACCATCCCTGTCACAACAGAGCTGCAAAGCTCGTAGCAATGTGCGTCCTCTTCCCTGGCACACAGTTTGAGGTCTGTACAATCACCCCACATATCATACAACCCATCCAGGATTAACATTCATCATCGGATTTTTTCACTTCTTGGGCAATTCTAACAAATGAAGGGACCCCCCCACCCCCATGGATATTGTACAATGGCGGAGCGCCAGGCACAGGAAGGCTGTTGCGGGTGGAGCGGGAGATGGTCACTGTGTGTGGAGTAAGCGGCAGATTGGTAAAAGGAGTCGGATGTTGGGAAAGTCAGTGTGAGGAATGTGAGTGCGCAGGAAGCCGGCCCTTCATTCAGAGACAGTGAATCATTTCCCATTTGGCCGGGTTCCTGCCTACGGGGGCTGCGCTCTCTCTCTCCGGCATCGTCTTGTAAGGGGCCTTGTGCGTCTCAAGAACCGATACAAAGAGAGCCGGAACACGCCGCGGATCAATAAATAACACGCACATCCCGATCGATAATCACAATAGTATCATATCAGACCCGATTATAGCGCCGTTCTTGTTAACTTCTCGCTACTTTCTACCCGATTTCCACCAACCAGATCGACTCATTGATGCCTAACTTCCCCCCAAATTCCAGATAAGTCACGCATCATCATCATCAGCTCCAGGAAAAGGGGAGGAAGGGTTTCAGCGGCAAAGGATTTGGTTTGTCTGCCGCTTCACCGTTTCAGTAAAACCCAAACCAGCCAATCAGATT